TGCATGAGCCTGGCATTTAAGTAATTAATTGATTAATTAATTAGTCCACTTATTTATATGGTTTTATTGAAGTATAATTAATATACCAAATCCACACGTATTGAATGTATACAATTTGATGACTTTAGACATATGCATTCACTTATGTTACCATTACCAACATTAAGGTAATAAACATCAACTTCAAAAGTTTCCTGGGGTCTTTTTCCTTTTTCTTTCCTTCCTTCCTTCCTTCTTTAATCCCTTCCTTCCTTTCTTTATGTGTGTGATCAGAACACAACACGAGATTATTTCTCTCTGCAAATCGTTAAGTGCACAGTTCCATATTGTTAGCTATAGGCCCTATGTTGTACACCAGATCTCTAGGACTTACATATTTTGTATAACTGTAACTTTATAGCCATTGAATACTTCCCCATTCCCCCTCCTCCCCCCATCCCCTGGCAACCACCATTCTATTTTCTGCTTATATAAATTTGACAATGTAAGATACCTCATATAAGGGGGTATTTGTCCTACTGCGTCTGGCTTATTCACATAATATATCTTCCACTTCCACCCATGTTGTCACGAATGATAAGATTTTGTTCTTTTTAAAGTTTGAATAATATTCTATTGTATATATACTACATTTTGTTTACCCATTCATCTGACAATACACATTTGGGTTATTCCATATGTTGGCTATTGTGAATAATACTGTAGTAAATATGGAGGTACAGATATCTTTTTAAGATCTTAATTTCAGTTAAGAATTATTAAACTTAAACTTTAGAATTATTCCCTTTAATATCAGGAATAAGACAAGATGCTAATTAATTAGCACCATTTCCATCTAGTTGCTGTTTGAAAGTCCCAGTCGAGCAGTAAGACAGGAAAAGAAAAAACATGTGAATTGGAAAAGAAAAGAAAAACACAAAACTATTACTATTCACAGAAAAATGATTGCCTTCACAGGATCTAAGAGAAAACACAAATTATTGGGATTAATATAAGAAATCAGAAAATTACTAAATATAATATTAGTATAAAAATAACTTGCATCAATAAATAACTATTAAAAGACTCAATATTATAAAAAGACAATTTCTCCCCAAATTAATTAATAAATTCAAAACAATTCCAACCAGAATCCCAATTGATTTTTTTGATACTTGATAAGATGATTTAAAAAGTCATATGAAAGAACAAAGAGAAAGAAGTTTGAAGAACACCAAGAAGGGAAGACTCATGCTACTATATCCAGTGTGTTGGTCAGGATTCAATCAAGAGTTGCACACAATGGAATACTATGCAGCTGTGAAAAAGAAGGATCTCTTACCCTTTGAGGCAACATGGAGGGGCCTGGAGAGTATTATGCTAACCAAAATAAGCCAGTCAGGGAAAGGCAAGTATCACATGATCTTACTCATATGTGGAATCTAATGAACAACATAACCTGATGAACAAAAATGCCCAGAGACATTGAAGTATGCAACAGACTGATGAATCTCAGAGGGAAATAGGTGGGGGGAGAGATTAACCAAAGAACGTATATGCATATATGCATAACCCATGGACAATCGTGCAGAGAAGGCCTGGGGAGGGGGTAGGAATGGGGTGGAGGGGTTCGAGGGGAGAAAAATGGGGCCATCTGTAATAGTCTCAACAATAAAGAGAAAGGAAGGAAGGAAGGGAGGTAGGGAGGGAGGGAGGAAGGAACGAAGATGGGTGGCAGTGGAACAATCCAACACATCAAGGTTAATATTCATGCTATTGTAATTAAGATGGTCAAGTATTTAGGGCGGGGAGAAAAAGGAATAGAACAAAGAGGCTAAAACCAGACCTATACATCTATAGAAATAATATGGGACAAAAAGTGGCATTACAAATTCAATTAATGATACCAAAACATTTGGTTTCCTGTATGGAAAAGCGGTTAAAGAAAAAAAAATCCTTTCCTCACACTAGTCACAAAGTTAAATTCCAGGTGGATTAAATCCTAAAATCTTAAAT